TGAGCTCTTAACCACTGTACTCCAGGGCTCCTTCTAGCATAGTGGTTCTCAAAATTTAGTGAGCATCAGAATCACCAGGAAGGTGTGTTAAAACACAGATTGCTGGCCTCCACCCCCCCGCCCCCCACCCCAAGATTCTGAGTCAGTAGGCCTGGGTGGAGCTAAAGAATTTGCATCTTTAACAAGTTTCCAGATGATGTTGATGGTGCGCGTCTAGGGACTACTCTTTGGGAATCTCTGCTCTATCTAGCAAAAGGATTTGCTTTAAAAATTACTCTCTATGAGTGTTGAGGAAGCATATAGGGAAAGCTTTTTACTTTGGTTTTGTAGACTTTAAGAACTATTAGTGTTAGATTAATGTGGATGGATGGATCATATTCTATAAGATTACCTCCTCCCCAGGGGCCTAGCTACGGAAAATAGTGCCTAGGGCAATTAGTTTTAAATTGCTGAATGATCTCTCACAGCTGGCCATGGAAACGATGATGGCCAATAGAAACTGCTCATTGGCGCACTGCCAGCACGCACTCTACGCCCAGGGCACGGGGAGTCCTACCCTGCCCCCGAGTTAGGCCTCTCTCCTCCCCCATCTCCTGGTTTTCCCACAGTGTTTCTGTGTTTGTTCATCAGCCATTCAACAAATATGTTTTGAGGGTGTAATATGTACGTGGCAACATATGCTCTGGAGTTGTTGGTGATATCAAGATGAAACAGACATGAACCATCCTTAAGAGAGATCTTCCCGTGCAGTCATAGCTATAATTCAAGGAGTCCAAAGAGGAACTGGATAATCTGATGGGTAGTGAAGTCTCCACCAGTGGAGTTGTCCCAGACAGGCTTCTAGAGTATTAACAAACCAGTTGCCGTCAAGTCAGTTCCAACTTATGTTGACCCCATGTGTGTCAGAGTAGAACTGTGCTCCATAGGGTTTTTAATGGCTGATTTTTTGGAAGTAGATTGCCAGGCCTTTCTTCTAAGGCTGCTCTACGTGGACTCGAACCTTTCAGTTAGCAGCCGAGGGTGTTAACCATTCGCACCACCCAGGGTGTCCCTGTAGAGTATTAGTAGGAATAAAATAATTTGTGGTAGGTTGTTAGACCAAATGTGATTAAGGAAGACTGACAACTGCCATAACAAAAAAGCACAAATGAAAGGCTGTGGAGATTATAGTGGGGAGATGTGCAGAGGCAGCTGAAGCCTCCTCTTGTAGATACTGATATTATTATCATTATTTTGAATATTCTTCACCAACAGAATGCTTGGTGGCTAAATGGATTTATATCCAATTACCCCATAATTTGCTGTTTATTGACCTCAGATAATTTAAAAGGTTAAATAGAAAAAGCCACAAGAAGTCCCAGAGTGCACCTCAGGGACCTCTTTAGGTCCCACTTCCAGAGTCAAATGGAATTGTGATGTATAGCACCATTTTACTTTTCTGCAATATTTACAACAAAGAGCAAGAGGGAAAATGTAAGTAGCCAATTTCAGGGCTTGAATTTATAGTTGCTAGGTCATCAACTTGAATTTCAGACTTTCATCTTACCTTATTAAGGAAGTCTAACTGATTGGCAGGTTCCATAGTATAAGGCAAGGGTCAAAGTCTCTCTTTCAGGAAGATCCAGCACTTATGATGTGGCAGACCAAGCTAAGCCTCTCCCCCATCATCACTATTTATCGAGCACCTATTAAGTGTAGCGCAAATGGTTTGCACTTGATTACTAACTTAAAAGTTCGCGGTCTCAACACACCCAGTGATGCCACAGAAGAAAGGCCTAGCAATCTGCTTGTGTAAAGATTACAGCCAAGGAAACCCTGCGGAACAGTACTACTTTGACACACATGGGATTGCCGTGACTCGGAATTGACTCGATGGCAATGGTTTTGGTTTTCTGATTTTATTATGTGCTGGACACTGAATGAAGTGCTTTAGAAATACTATTTATAATCCTTTAAACCATTGTCCAAGGTGAGTAATATTATCCTTACTTTCCTGAAAGAAAAAAGGCACAGAGAGATTAAGCGTCTTGTTCATCTTCACACAGCAGAACTCCTCGATTCATTTTTGGAAGTCAACATAACCATAAAACCAAACCCTGATAAAAACTGTCCAAAAATTCTACATCTATCTCAAGTGTGAGTATACACACAAAACGCATTATGAGCAAATAGAATGCAGTAGTATATCAAATGGATGATATACTTTGACCAAATGGAGTATATTCTAGGAATGCACAAATGGTTCCATAATAGGAAATAGTAGGAACTTAACATACTTCACCATATCAACAAACTAAAGGAGAGTCATATATTCACAGATACTGAAAGGGCAGTTGATAAGATTCTCCTATAATAAAAAAAATCTAAAACAGGAATAGAAAGATTTACTTAAATCTGATAGACTAAAAATTAATCACATACATTACACTAAATAGTGAAACACTAAATCCAACTTTGTAGCAATGGGAGATGCTTGCTTTTGCCATTTTAAAATATTCTTTTGGTGATTCTTAAAAGTAGATTAAGGAGATAAAATAGTTGGTATAAATATGGGAAAGAAGAGATGACATTATCTCTTTTACCAGTGATTGTATACCTAAAAAGCCCAAGAGAATCTCATAAGAAACGCTACCAGAAGTAATAAGGGAGTTGGGTACAATGACGGGCCAATGGCTCTTCTCCCTACTATCAGGGTCACCTAGCCAGTGAGCAGCGGCACCGGCACCCAGCATTTGAACCAGGTCTGATGCAGAGGTCTGCTGCTCGTTCTACCTTGTGAAGCTTTTATAAACCAATCACGTCGGCACCAATGGGAGAGTCTCTTAGTGCTTGCAACCTCAGGTGCTTCCGCAGAGCCGGTGGGGTTTGCTCTGCTGGGGAGCGGGGAGACAAGATTAGAGGACTGACATGGGATTTTGACTGTGAAGAGCCTCAAGGCTTTTGCTACCAGCTGAGATACTGGGCTATGTGTGGGTGGAGGTTGGGAGTGGTCGTCTGGGCTTCCCCATTTAGCCAGACTTCTTCTTCCCAGGCACGGAGCAGCCAACCAACTGAACTGCCTCTTTCATCTTCCTGTCTCCAAGAAGGCATAGTTATGTTGTTTGTTGCCTTTGTCTCAAGCTGTCCGTTTAAGGCGTAGTGCTTGTGAGGACCCATGTTTAGAGGATTTCTGGGTATCAGAGGCCTGCCTGGGGCATCAAGGGTACAATCTTCTGGGTTGTTACATCTACCAGGGTTGCCTTGGCTTTGTGATACCTCAAAAATATTATCCCTGTAAAACTTTACTACTTAATAGAGAGTCAGCCACAGGGTGGTAGAAGAAGCAGTGTATGGGAATCTCGGAGACCTGGTTTTTCGTGGCACTAACTAGCTGTGTGTTCCCAGGCAAATCCCTTAGCCTTGCCGGGCCTCACTTGCCTCATCTATGCCATGGGGTGTTGTTGGGTTGGATAGACTCCCAGTGCCCTTTGACTTCAGCGTTATAATAATCATCACCGTTACCTTATGCGTGGCACTGTTCTAAAAGCTTTGCATAGATTAACTTGTGACAACAACCCTATGAGGTAAGTACTATTATTATTCCCATTTTACCTCTGAAGAAACTGAGGCGTGGAGATGCTGACTTGCCCAGGGTCTCACAGCTAGGAAATGGTGGAGCATTTGCACAGCTCTTAGACTCTATCCTGTTATGTTTTTTTCTTTACGGGGCCCATGTTGTTATAGTGGTGTTATCCTGTGGGTAGAGGGAAGGGGTGTTGGGGTCGGAGATACTTCTGAAGAGTAAATTCAGCTCTAGGGTGGATGGATGGGGTCACTGCCTGGGACGATGACAGCAGTGGCTGTAGAGGTTGCTGATATTTGCTGTTTCCCTTTCTTTCCTCTTTCCCTGTCTAGTCTGTGGCAAGCGCTACAAGAACCGGCCGGGACTCAGCTACCACTACGCTCACACTCACCTGGCCAGCGAGGAAGGGGATGAAGCCCAAGATCAGGAGACGCGGTCCCCACCTAACCACAGAAACGAGAACCACAGACGTGAGTTCCCAGTTGTTAGGTTGGGAGAGTGATGGGGGGGCAGGGGCCAGGGCTAGGGAGCATTCTTTTTCTTCACCTCTGGCATCTTCTGGTGACAACTGTTGATTGACCTCAATGTCCTGTGGTGAGCTGACTTTTTCACCTCAGCCAGTCAGCTGCCCCTGTGGCTCAGTTGGGCAGGGGTCACACACTCCGTTCCGCTCCCAGTGGAAGGAAGGTGAGTGTTAAGGCAGAAGGGAAAAGTCCTTACCTGGCCATTGCCAATTTCCAGATCCACTGCTCTTTTCCATCAGATCCAGAAGACCTGTTCACAGCTGCTAAACTGTGCTGAGCCATCGCCTTTGGGTGTGTCAATTCGGACAGACATTCCAAATGTCTGCTTGGCCACCAAGAGCTTTAGGAGAATATTCTTGATCTATTGCCTGGCTTGGTTATAGGTGCCAGAGTTTTGGTACAGGGCTCTTCTGCCTTGGAAATATTGGCCTGAGCCTTCATGCTCTTTGCTTGTGCACTAGATTGGCAAACGTGATCTGGGTGGACTTGTCATTTGGGATGTTGGGCACTGAAGACCCAAAATGATCCTGAAGATTTGTGTTTGCATTTCTACTCTTTCCTTCCTCACCTTCCAGTTATGAACTAGGGAGTCAAAAAGGGGCTTAGTATTTACTACGTGGCTTTCCTCTATAACATTTCTTATCATCTCTGGGTCTACATAAACCTCAAAATGGGATGGGATAATGCAATCTTGGAGGGCTTGCTTCAAGATGTGGGTCATTCTAAGATCATTTGGTGAAGAATATTTGTGGACGCACCGTGTGTTTTGTATTTTGTTTACAACATTTGGCAGTAGGTGCGCTTAAAGCAAACAATTCAATGTAATTAAAGGGATTAGGCCTTTTAAAATATTCAGACTCTAGGATGTGAGTGTGACACGCATTTCAGTCAATCCATGACAGTTGGTCACCTTTACCAAATATTTGTAATAATTCACACATCTGTGGCCAAGACCTTTTTTTGGATTTGTGTGTCTTTCCCCGACCCCTACCCCACATCCCTCTTATAACATGGCCTTTAATTTTTACTCACTTGTAGGGTTTAAGTCTTTAGCGTGATAAACCCTTATGCTCTTATCTACTCTTGTCATCTGGACAGCATCTCAAAAGCTGGACAGGAGGTGTCTGACAGAGCTTTGCCCACCTCCTTCCTGAGCTCCTGCGTAGCTGCAACACTGAAGTCCCTGTCTTCTCTCTGGGGAGAGGTTTCCTCGGTCTAGTCACCCTCACCTTCCAGGAAGGAAAGTAGATTGACCTTTCCTGGAGCAGCTGGCATTTGTCTTTCCCTGTCTCCCTTCTGCCTTCTCTGCCTGCAGAAAGTACAGTAAGAAGTGACCAAGTCACCACTGTTGTCCCTGCCACAAGGAGGCTGAGAATATTCTCCTTTGATTTGGGTTGCTATCTGGAAAGTATTTAGTAGAGATTGTTGCTCTCTCTAAAGCACGTATTACCTGTTACTCATTGCTGTCAAGTCGATTCCCAGGTGCTACAGAGTAAACTGCTCCATAGGGGTTTCTTGGCTGTAATCTTTTACAGAAGCATATCACCAGGCCCTTTTCTGTGACGCTGCCAGTTGGGTTTGAACCACCAACCTTTAGGTTAGCAGCCAATCGCAAACCACTTGTGCCACCCAGAGACTTTAAAGTATGTATTAGTTTGATTTCTCACTTCCCCCAGTACTGGCTTATCCTTACTATATCCCTTCTCCAATGCCAGCCATTTTGTTCTGTGAGGTGCTTCACTCACATGATAGGGTTTGCAATCTTCTCTTTTGTCTGTGTCTCGCGTCCCCCGGTTCTCCTATAATCTTGCTGCAGTGAGGGTATGTGTGTGTGTTTATGGAGATGACAACAGCAGAGGAAGGTTCCTCGTGGTGTCTCAGGAACAGTTACTGCAGACCCTACATGGAAGGAGGCAATCTCCTCCTTAGCTATTCCTGTGGTTCCCTTTAGGTTGGCTGTTGACATCGAGGACACTGGCATATTTTTGGCAGTCCACCAGGATCCCCTCCTGTGCTCTCATCGGTTGGTGTCTTTCTGCCTCTTCACCTCCTCACCTTGCAGCCAGATAGCCTTGCTTAGTAGAGAAGCTGTGGTTTTCCCCTCCCAGGTGGAGATGCCTCCCTAGAAAATCTCATCCTGGTGTTGTTCTCATCTCTGTGGGTCATCAGGGAGCATGCTCATTGCAACCTGCCCCTGCTCCTTCTCCCTTCCTTGCCCTGCTGATGAGAAATGGGGTTCTTCAAGGAGGATCATCTGGTTGTCCAGGGGTTTTAAACCTGGTGGATCCAGGGCCTCCTCACACGGAGGAGGCTCCAGAGCATCTACAAACACCTTTTTAGTAACTTCTCTCCACAGCATCCCCTGAGAACTATTTGACCCCCATTTTGCTAGCAGGGAGGGTGCAGCAGAAAGACATTTAGTGTCTCCTGAAGCGCTTATCTCCCCCTTCCCAATTTCTCTGGATAAATCCGAGAGATGCTGCTCCTTCTGGATCCTCTCACCACACTCCACCGATTTGTTTGTTGCTCCGAGTGTGCTCAGTCCCTCTCACATTCCCCTGGTGAGCAGCCCCCAACTCTCTTCTCGTGGAGCGCTAATTGCCAGCATCATTAATACCCAGTCATTAGCTGCTCCCACTGTTTGGGGAGGGGGGAGCTCCCATCCATCCTGCCCCTAAATGCCACTGAGCCCGTGTGGTGAATTGAACGTGACAGCTCTGTCACATCCTAAGGTCTCAGCTTCGAGATCCTTTCTCAGCAGGGCTAACCGAGTGGGGGAGGGAAGCAGGAGTGCTTAATCCGAGAGGCTAATCTGCAGTGTCCCCAGGAGAGGGCCTGAGCTCTAGTGAAGGAGGGATGCTGACTTTCCCCCCCTCAGCAGAGTGGCAGGGTGACCTGAGCTGCTTACAAGCGAGACCTAATGCAAAATCAGCCCTGCAGACCTGACAGGGCCATGGGCACCTGGGTTTGCACCACCGGCAGCAGTAGAGACCTTTTGACTTTGGTTTTCCTGCTGTCCCTTGCTCCATTCCCCCAACTGTGTCTCCAGCGCAGCCCATTACTCATCCCTGCGCCTGCTGCTGCTGACAGGGCACTCAGGGCAAAGCCAGCACCGATGCCCACCCCCAGCCCACTCTGCCCCCATGCTGCCAGCTCAGCAATGGGCTGCGATGCCGCCTGTCCTCCTGTCCCCCTCCTAGCAGACGCTCTCCCACCTTTGTTTCTCTCCTAGTCTTTCATGTTCTCCTGATTATATGTTTCTCATCTCTCCCTTACATTTGCCCCCTTTCCTCTGTGTCCTTGCTGCTCTGCCTCAACTGCAGGCAGCCCAGGGACACTTGAAGCTCAAATACTTCCCCTTGGGAGATAGTGTTTTTTGGATGGAGTCTCTTCCAACCCAAGCCGCTGCCCTTCCCCTCCCTGTGTGATCGTGGATTCTTCTTCCTGCCTTATATATTTCCCACCACCATCATCCAGTTTCTCCAAATGGGATCATCATGTGTGTGTGTGTGCGTTTGTGTACATGCAGACACATATACACACATAGCCTTATGTATATACGAGTAACAAGAGGGAGAGCTTGGGCAGATTAGGTCTCTGAGAGAGTGGCTACTTAGAAACATCCGTTGTGACTCTTAAAATATGACCTTGGTGCACAGCCCTGATGGCGCCGGGGTAGCAGAAAGATCACTGGATTAGAATTCAAAACCCCTTTGACACAGGCTCACGCCGTCAAAATCCTTCTTGAATTTCTTTTGACCTTCTCTACGCAATGAGAATCTATGATAAATGATGTTTTCAAGTGACTTTTTTTATTGGGCAGGGGTGGAGGGTGGTGGTAGGCATCTATGAAGTCCTGGGCCTGGATGAAAAAGCTGTGTAAATAAATTCAGTCCAGTGCATTCATCTGTCCATCCATTCACCTGCCCATCCATGGGTTTAATAACCATGTATTGAATACTGTCTATATGCTGGGGCTGGGAAATAGGCATGAATAAGACTCGGTCCTTGTCCTTGAGGAGTTCAGAGTCCTGGGAGGGCAGACTGACATGTAAAACAACTATAGGAGGACATCAAGAGTGTATAATAGGGGTGGTGTCATTTTCTTGCAGTTTAGGAGGCTACAAATCTGAATTCAGAGCACCGGCTCTAGGGGAAGGTCCTTATTCCTTGGCTTCTTGGTGATCTTCATGTGGCATGGCGTCTCTGCTTCCTAGCTTGCTTGTTTAATCTCTTTTATATCTCAAAAGAGAGAGACTCAAGAAATACCCTACACTAATCCTGCCTCATTAACAAAGCAAAGACAACCCATTCCGAAACAGGATTATAACCATAGGCATAGAAGTTAGGATTTACAACAATATTTTGGGAGGACACAATTCGGTCCATATCAGGTGTGAACAGAGGTCAAAGGACAGGGCTCAAGGGCACAGTGTACTTCTATACCTTAGGCATTGGTGCTTCAAGCGTGGCATCAGCATCACCTGGGAACTTGTTGGAAATGTAAATTCTTGCGCTCCATTCCAGACTTCATCAATCAGGGACTCAGAGGCTAGGGACTAGCAATCTGTGCGTTGAAGAGCCTTCCAGCATATTCTGGTGCATGCTAAAGCTTGAGAGCCACTGTGATGGGGGATTTGCAAAGGCTTCACTGAGGAGGTGATATTCAAGTTAGCCTTGAAGAAGGAATGGGAATTTTCCAGGAGGGAGAGGGCTTTGCGGGTAGAGGGAACTATAGGTACAAAGGCTCGGAGGTATGAAGTAGCATGGTGCGCCAGGCAGTTGGTAGTAGTTGGGTCTGACGGTAGCATTGGATTCTGGGGGTGTGGAAGTGTGGTGGAAATGTAGGCGGAGGCCACAGCTGGAAATGTCTCCTATGCCAGGCTGTTTAGTCTTTATATTATAGGAAATGGGCAGCCACAGTAGCAATTGTTAGAAAGCAAGAA